CTCTGCCTTTGCTGCTTGACATCTAGCGCACTCAGACACTTTTGGAAACTGTTAGTGGCATAATATATAGCTTCCTGGTACATGCACACTGTGTCAAGGCTGGATCCCAGAAAGCCACGCTTCTCTTCTCCATCAGAAGATCAATTGATGCATTGGTGATGAAGACATTGTCAAAGTCTTATCGAACATCTCGATTCTTGGCAGAATGTGTGAGTGAACTCAGACTGAAATACATAGACACAACAACTAGCTACCCGAAGCCCCAGACTTGAAAACAAACAAGAACGACACATTATGACATATACACAAGAGAAAAACATGATACAGTCAGTTTATCGGTATGTACTATGTCACTATGCCAGGCGGACTACTTGGAACATTTAATGCTGCCGCGGTCCAAGATGACTTGACCTTGGAGGAGCAACTCCCTACACGCCCCTTGCCTCTTGCAATCTCTTACACCGGTCAAGATGCTGTGGTTGTTATTGAAAAACATAGTGAGAGTGAGACCAAGAAGGAACTCAAACATCAAGTGGATGACCTTTTCTTCTTCCAGCCAGTCATAGATGGACGCAGTGTGAGCTACACAACATTTCTGGGAGAGCAGCTTTCTTTTGATCTCTTAGCCCAACCCTTCAAGATCAAGCATGCGGAATTTGACCATGGAAACGGGCACACGTCTTTGGCAAGCGTGACAGCAATGGCAGAGGGAGAGCCTATGACATGTTGGTTGGGTGACATTGACTTTGAGACACTATCCGGGAGCCTACAAGTGTGGCATGGCGGTGATGTCTCATATCATATCTCCAAACCTATGAATCTCGGCTGTGCTTAACACCAACACATAACAGAACCACACTAAAACTTGATACATACTTTGGCAGACTTACACCTTTTTGTATGGAGCTGTCAACCAGTAGTATAACCATTGAACATCATTCAACCATGCACCAAATAGCAAACATTCAAGGCCCAATGATGCTGCTGATTTATTCCTATCGATGGCAAGTTCGGGCGCCTTCTGGGAGAAGGCAGGCTTCTTCGTCCAGCCTGATTGCACTGGTCTAGATTTCTTGCTGCAAAAGAGATGGGTCTGTTCCTCAGATGTTTGACCAGGATCACCTCACATATACATACCGGTTACCGTACATAAGACATCGATGATGCTTGTGTTGATTTTAGAGTGGACTTGAGCTGAAAGTAGCACCAGCCAGCTTGCTAAGATCGGAAAGCAACAAGGCAGTGATGTTGATATTTTCCACATCACCCACTCAGGATGTGAAGCCTTGTCGGTCACGCAAACGTATGCTGAACCTCAAAAGCTGTCACAGTTCAAAGTGAACCCAGAGACAAAAGCCAGTCGTTCAGGAAAACTGTCAGAATTTGAACTCATTCTGGAATTGAACGTTGCCGGATGGTCATACCAGTTCAAAAAGGTGAGTCGCAAATTGGAACCATACAGGAGAGGAGGTGAAAAGATATGGTATTACCATACTGCTACCATGAAGGGAGGAATCAACCACAAGTACCTGACCGTTCTTGCTTTGGCAGACCAACTTTTCAATGAAGGATTGACAGCGATATACCACTGCCAACCAGTTTCATATTATGAAGCACTTCTCAAAGTTAACTCAGCGGCTTTGTGTGAGATCTTGCCTTGGCAAACCAAAGGGTACTACGCCAATGCAATCAGCCAGCAGAGTGGCCAGCATGTGAAGAAGGCACGAAAAGCTGTTCGAACTGTCGAAGATGATGATGCAGGCGAATGGGTTTGGTGGGTATGGGTGTGATCTATTGGTTTGGTGATTGCGGGTGTGTGGATTTGAATTTCATAACTGTTCAGAGTTCAGAGGATCATTTCTTGGTAGAAGCACATTCCCTTGGTCTATGACACAAACACACACCATGCGCAATGTGCATTGCAGGATTTGCTTTGATGGGACAGCCTTTGCCACCAGATGCTCTCCAATCGAGGGTCAAGGAACCCTCGTTCGGTACATCTTCCAGTTCAAGTTCAAGTGGTGAATCAGGGGATGAACACATGCCAGAGATGGAGGATGACTTCATGAACACTGGTGCTAGTGAAGCCGACAAGGAGATTCACCAGACCAAACCAGTGGCAAGAGCGGCTGCATTGGCAGTGCGGCCATTTGATGGGTCTGTGATTGAAGAAATCATGAAGGATGAACCTGGAGAGTCCTCTAGTTCCAAGGAACCAGCCACCAAGGTCACCAAGGTCACCAAGGGCCCGGATTCGGACTCCAAGGAAAAGAGAGATGCATTGGGGCACCGATCAAAGCCCACCAAGTCAGACAGGTCCAAGCGTGCTGGGCCTGTGCGTGTTGACCGTCAGTTGTCTGGAGTTGGAGTTGGTGCATCGGCGTCTCTATGGAATCCATCAACCGTTTGGATTGGCGAGATTCCGATCATTGAACGAACTGATCAAGTCAGGATCCCAGATATGTTCCTCAGTGTTTATCTTGTACCATTATGGCAGTCATTGGCAGTATGGTTGTTTGAATGGTCATGATCACAGCCAGTAGTCATGATGATCAACATGGTGAGTCAGTCTTATATTTTTTCACTCAGGGGAAACGCTCCTTCTATGTCAAATGTCCGCTACATGGGACCAACATGCGGAGTTGCTCAAGACAGATGAGCAAGGGTACTGATGACGTCATCATTCGTTCTCTGATGTACTGGCTTCGTGAAGGCAATTGGACCACGGACTGGGGGGGGATGCATGACACTGTATCACCATCATATGATTGTTGCTTGTTTGTATTGATCTTTTGTATTGTCCAGTCACCAGTCCAATGATTTGTGTTTCTGTGGACAACCAATCTGGGAGGCTACAACATGGTTCAAGATGATGGAGAAACCGAAGAGCAGCTGAGAGCCCGCCATGTACACAAAGTGGTCCTATGACAGCATTATAGTTTGCTGTTGGCATCCATGTCATTGCTTTCTTTGCAAACTCTTCAGACGCATTGCATTGACATTGACATTGCATATATGTGTCGTCTGTCAATTATTAATGCCAACTATTTAAAGCCAGTGACCAGTGAGTCAGTGAGTCTAAATTTAACTATTTGTGCAATTGTAGGTGATGCCTCCACTATCTGATCTTCCAAGCAGACAAGATCTTGAAGAAGAACTTCAACAGAAAATGAATGCGTCTTAGGCTGCGTGTAGGCATTGTGGGGCAAACAGTGCCTGCCTGCTCAAGTTCTATTTTTTTTACCGAGCGACCGACCGGTCACCCGACTCAAGCTATGTCCAAGGGCTGTCTGTAGTGCTGTATAGGGGTTCCGGGGACAGTCTTTTGCCCTTGGATTCGAAGAGCTTCTGGACATGGAAGAAACAACAACTGAATCTATGACTTACATGTGGCAGTTGTAGCACTGATAATGCACTGACCCATTGGCAATTGAAAATATGTATATACAATTAATGGCAGGGGGGTGGTGGCTGGCCTGGCAATCATTGTGTTTATCACTACCAGTTACTAGCTGACAATCAACGTGAGTTGTTTCCTTGTTCTTACACGACCCACTGACCCACTGCTCAAGAATGTGTTTTGACCTGATATTTGCATAGTTCTGAAACCGTGCCTCACCATGAGTTCTGCCAATGACATGGTTGCCACATTGGCAAGCAATGCTCGGGGATTCAATCGGATCATTCGTCAGCATGGATCATCGCTCGGGCATCCCAATAGTCCCAATCTACGTCAGTTTTTGGCAAACGTGGAGATCTTCTTCCTGACCATGATCAACCAACTTCAAAAACAGAACAAATGCAAAACATCACTGTCCGTGTTGGTGATTGACATCAACATTGGTTCCAAATTCAATGATATGGTGCATATGACTTTGACATTCCACCCACGCATGCAACGAGCACCTCTTCTCCCAGAGGCAGGAGGAGTAACCCATCCAGTCCCCCTATTCTGGACAAAAGCAGAGGAAGGGTTCACTCAGCTGGTGCGTATGCTGGAGATCAGTGAGACTTTGAGCTTTGGCCCGGCAGTCATGTGTGGGAGTTTGAATTTGGATGGTAAACAGGACACCGTTGTCGTGACTGTTCCTCCATGCGGGGATTTGATTGCAAGCCCCACCTCCGATACAGAATCCAACGAGGTTGGTGCACCCGCTGCTGAGAATCAGGACAATCAGAGACGTGGGGATGAGCAGCAGCCAAATGTGCCTGCGCCGGAGGCCAATCATCCACGTGATCAGGAGCTACCCGTGACAGCGAATGCCAGTCCGCCAGCTCGTCCTGTTCAGGCAGTAGAGGCCAATCAATCTGAGCAGGGGCCAGCTGCACATGTGACCAATGCTTCTAGGAGGGCAAGAATGTCAAGGGCATTGCGCAGTGAGGGCCAAGAGTCCGGGTCCATTGAGTGGGGGCCAGTTCGGGCTGAAGGTTATTTTGCACGATATCGACGATCAGAACCTCATAATGGGTAGAGCTGTCAGCCTCTCATGGACACGATGGATGGGGCATTAATTTGTGTCTATGCGATTTGAATAGGTTGACTGACCTGATACAATGCAATTGGGGTCATGTCAGGTTAGACTTGGAAATAATGACATGAGCAAACTGTGTGATATACACAGATGCTTTGTGCAGGCTAGTGCCATGAAACAAAAGGTACTTGCAGGAACCAGGAACTGAACTGTGCATGAGAGTCTACTACAGTTCCGGGTGCGGACCGTACCAGACTTAGACTCGCCTTGGTTTTGACATAGTCGTAACTGCTAGATGGTGATTGCACTGCACTTCACAATGTTTCAGTTGCCGTTGGTTGTTAACATTGTTGACTGTTGTTGAATCTTAAAATCCTAGAGGGCCTAGAAATTTGAGCTTTGAATTAAAGTTAAAGATTGGAATATTTGTGACATTGTGAACTTGTGTTATTGTCATTGGTGGCTTGGCTCAGTTGGAGATTGTGTTAAATCCCGCTGATCGCTCTCGTGTGTGGTTGTCTGAGTGCTATGTCCCGAACCCAATTGCGTGCGCTTTCTGTGGCTGAATTGTCTGATGCCTTGAACAAGTTGGTTGCTGCTCTTCCAAATCTGGACGAGCACGCAGACTTTGAGTTGGAATGCTGCCGAGAGAGCCTGATGTGGGTAACCTTCATGTGGAAAGATTCCCTGATGCACTCTCGCTCGCTTGGGATCACGATTGCTGCGCTGACTGCTTTTCGATCTCATTTGACTGGCAATGCCTTGGAAGAGATGCCGGTTTCCGTGCAGTTCGATCCTGATGCAGTTCCAACTCCCGCTCTTTGCAAGATCAAAGGCCTGCAGGTGCCAATCCAACAGGTGATTTACAAGATCTCAGATATTCAATCAAGTGTGGCCTGGTTGAACATTGTTGTGAGTGCTGGCATGGGTGGCCGATTGGAAGCCGCGTTCAGTGGTGCTTACTGCATTCTTGCGGATTCCTTGAACCACCTTGAGGTGTATTGTCACTGCAAGACCAATGTTCAGGAGTTCCGTTCTGAGCTAGACCTGCTGATTGCCTGATTGCAACGACAAATGCATAGTTCAAGTAGTGCCACTTGTAGCGTGGCATATAGCACAGGCACGGTCCTTTTACTAATTAAACACTGGCCACTGGCCACTGGGGTATAGAGCTAGAGTTTGGGCAAGGTCCCTTATGCACATGGACGTGTTCCCATTCCATGGTGCCTTGGAGGAAGAAAAACAAAACAAATAGAGTGACCAGACAAGACAACATTATAACTAGTATGCTCTGCTTGCTGTAAACTTAATGTACTGTAGACGGTAGACTGTAGAGTACTAGAAATAATAAATTACTGTATTGCCACTGCCTTTTAGCGCAGTGCCTTCAAGTCTTTAAGTCAAGCATCTGGTGAACACTGGTTGAAGTTCCCGAATTTCTGGAAATATATTGATGGAGTCCTGCCTGCCTGTCCTGCCTGTCCTGTTTGAACTATAAGTCCTGTGAGCAGTTGCGCGCGGTCGCGCGCGCCCCCCCGAAAAGTTATAGTTCCGGAAATTCTGGAACTATAAGCCCCGTGAGCAGTCGTGTGCGGTCGCGCGCGCCCCCGGAAAAGTTATAGTTCCGGAAATTCTGGAACTATAAGTCCCGTCCACGGTCGCGCGCGGTCGTGCGTGCCCCCCCGGAAAAGTTATAGTTCCGGAAATTCTGGAACTATAAGTCCCGTCCGCGGTCACACGCGGTCGCGCGTGGCCCCCGCAAAAGTTATAGTTCCGGAATTTCTGGAACTATAAGCCCCGTCCGCGGTCGCGCGCGGTCGTGCGTGCCCCCCGGAAAAGTTATAGTTCCGGAATTTCTGGAACTATAAGTCCCGTCCGCGGTCACACGCGGTCGCGCGTGGCCCCGGAAAAGTTATAGTTCCGGAATTTCTGGAACTATAAGCCCCGTCCGCAGGCACACGCGGTCGCGCGTGGCCCCCGGAAAAGTTATAGTTCCGGAATTTCTGGAACTATAAGTCCCGTCCGCGGTCGCGCGCGGTCGTGCGTGCCCCCCGGAAAAGTTATAGTTCCGGAATTTCTGGAACTATAAGTCCCGTCTGCGGTCACACGCGGTCGCGCGTGGCCCCCGGAAAAGTTATAGTTCCGGAATTTCTGGAACTATAAGTCCCGTCCGCGGTCGCGCGCGGTCGCGTGCGGCCCCCGGAAAAGTTATAGTTCCGGAATTTCTGGAACTATAAGTCCCGTCTGCGGTCGCGCGCGGTCGCGTGCGGCCCCCGGAAAAGTTATAGTTCCGGAATTTTT